CCCGCTGCGCACGCGCGATTGTCACGGACTACTCGATCCTCCTCCCCTTTCCTTTCGTCTTGTTTCGTTTCGTTTTACTACAGAGAAACCTGAGACTCCTGAGAGCGGCCATGCCGGTCTCTTTCGTGACATGGCGACATGGCTCGGAATTCCTAGGAACTTTCGCACACCAGCGGCACCAACATCCATTTTATTAAATGGAGGTGAACTACGTTATCGACATTAGGTCTGTTCACGTTGCTCGCACTTTTGGCAATCGGCATCTTCGCTTTCTTTCTTTTCAAAGCCAAATAAATATCTATCTCATTTTAAGTGCAAAGATATTTGGGGATTTCATGCAACGCGAACAGACCTATTAAAGTCGTAGCATCGAAAATGGATGTGATTTCAATCCAACTACTGTCAACTGTATCCAAATTATGGATATGGAAGCAGCTTTGCCACTGTCGTAAAATTCGTCAATGTGATTGGTTTATACATAGAGGGCCAGTTCCACCAATGCCGATCAAGCTTAATCGTGATTAACTGTCAACCATCAATTGGTCGATTCTACTAAACAGCAAATGCGATTGGTCGGTCAACGGCCGATTAAGTTAACTGACGTTGGTGAAACTGCTCCTAAGAATCATTATTTTCTTTTGTTTAAAATGTGAAAACAAGTATTTCAAGAATAAGACAATTCTGATTATGATTTTTGTATTTAGCAAGTGAAATAGAGTAAAGGATCATTTATATAGGCCCTAATTTGTTAACTTATGCCGTAATCTATAAGAATTGATCAATCACAGTCATGTAAGTGGGGAATAATCGATGTGATTGGCGAATTTTTATAGATTATGACGTAAGTTTACGGCCTGTATAAATAATCCTTAATGTCTGTCCTACAATAGGATTGCAAGTCGTAAGTCGTAAAAAATTGGCCAATCACAGTTGGATATGACAAAAATAATCAACTACGATTGGTTAATTTCTTACGGTTTACGGCTTGCGACCTTATTGTAAAACAGGCTTAAGGAAATAAATAGACCTTATCCTGTGTTTCCCATATCGCTAAAATACATATTTTTTACAATCTGAATAAAAATAATCTTAAATTATATTATCTTTTATATTAAAAAATAATTACCTATATATAATTTTACTATTTATTAAATTTGTTCATGATATAGAGATAAGACTAAAAAATTCAGAAATGTAAATATATTTGCAAAAAATATAATTAGAAGTTAATTATACTTAAAAATAAATATTAGAAAAATTATGTCTATTAATTCAACATATTAAATATAATAATAGACATTGGATTTAAAAGAAGAAAATACATGTATATCGTAGAAGTATAAATAAAGGAAGTATCACCATTTATTTAAAAGAACGTTTGTTTTTTTTATCCCAATTGATAGAATTTCAATAAAGATTTTAATTTTAAAAAACGATGAAATAATTTTATAATAGCAACAAAATATATAATGAATCAAATAATGTTTATTAAAATAAAATAAGTTTATTTAAAATTTGAAATTTGGCGCCAATTTGCAACTTAGCCTTTAAGCCTAGGAACATTTTGACGTATCATGTTGTCTCGAGAGCTCTTGCTGATTCTCGGCAATTTTCACTCTTCGTTCAATTGTCGACAGATAGCATTAGTGATCGGTTTAGCGGTTTTAAAAAAGTAGAGGACAACAATACTCGCTGTCGAACGCGATGAAAGTTGCCGGAATGGTGAAGTTACGGCGAGGATGTGCGCGGAGTCAGGTGAGTAACATTATCGTGCTTTTCTGTAACTGATTGCGATTAGACGTAATTGAGGAAGGACGAACCGCGAGTCGATATCGTGCGTGATGTCATGCTTGTATTCTTTCTTTTCCGGGAATCTTTTCCCCCCCCCTATCAAAGGAAACACTTTGCTGCTATCGCTGAGAGGTAATTACCTATCCGGTAATCGTCCTGACTTCAAAACTGGATAGGAAGTCTCGAAAATGATCATCACCTGCCGACCAGTCGATGCTCCTCGTCTCAATATTCATTCTGTCCGATCTCGTTGCGTCGTGGTATCGGCATGTGCGTCATAACCTCTCTCTCTGGCGTAAATCGCGTGAGACGTGCACAAGTTCCTCGAATCGCTTCCCGTTGTAAGTACGAATGGACAGACATGTCACACGGTTCACGATTCACAGATGTATAATGCAATGCTTGATAGTAGCTCGCTCGACTTTTGTTTTGGACGTCGAATGAGACCTGCTCTAATTCCGGATCTACTCTCATCGTCATTCTCGAAATTAAGGCATCGGTTCCTTGGGTTTTCTCGTAATTCTTGGCGTATCATGATAGTATAGTGTCGCTGTTGATAGCATAGGAGGAAAGAGAAACGGGAGAAACTGAAGAAGAATGTTTCGCAAAACATTGCGAAAACAATGGCCCGGGTCTACAATGAGTCGATAGTCTTGGCCGTTGGCCAATTCCACCAATTCATCGATTTCGACCAATTCCGAGTATTTCGACTGACCGACTATCGTTCAGACTCACTTCCGACTCATCGACTACCAATTCATTGTAGTCCCGGATATGGATTTATATAAAGGTTTCTGCGATTGCGATTTAATTGCCGTGATTTCAAAAGGATATACATTGGCTCGTATTGTTCGTTTTGAAAGAGTTGTTACGATGATATGATCGTGCTAGGCTGCGGGATTCAGAATTGTATGAATGTATATTGACCAGAAATATAGAGCATGGACTGCGCTGCTCGTATCGAAATAGTGTATCAAATGTAGTCGACAAAAATGGAATAGAGGATGCGTGAGGACGGTTAATCTTCTTCTCTTTCTAACACATTGTGATTGGTTGAAGAGAATGAGATAGAAACTGGCCGTTTTCGCTTCCTATTTCTCTCGTTTTTATCGATCAATTTTACACATGGATGGCGCAGTCTATATGCTCTGTGTCTTTGAAGGGCTGCGCATAATCAAAGGAATAGGAACGTAGAACAGAATTTCAACCTATCGGAAACTGTATATTTTACGGTATATGCTTTCTGATAGGCTGAAATTCTTATTCTCTGTTCCTCGTTCTCTATTCTTTCGATTGTGCGACGAGATTTATTTTATTAAAGACGGCAGGTCCTTTCGTGACTATCAATGGGGTCTGGAGAAGATAATTGAAGAACAATAACATTATCGATAATTGAATTAAATTTGCGATTAACATAAATATTTGGATAATACATTATTAAATTCATGATTTGTTATTATATAAATGCTGCACAAACATATTTGCATACTTGTAATTCTATGTCTTATATATTGCCGCAAAATTGTTTTTTACAGTTATCATTTCTATTGATAATCAAACTTTGACGATAACATTAAAATCAAAATTTTAAATAATCGAGTATTATACTATTGAGTTTAACATATACATATATACGTGTCCACGAAATTAAGATATAATAAAATTAATAATATACTATCAGTTTCTTATTCTTAATCACTTAAATTTTAACAGCCAACTTCCGTAAGACCGGCTGTCTTTAATAGTATCTCCTCGGTGCTCTTTCGAAGTCGAAATAATAAATTAATGTCTATATTTTATCAGAAATAAATGTATATTCCTGATAAAATTTGCACAAGTTGAAAAATGAGATCTGTGATAAATGTGAGTGCGATCATTGTACGATCAGAACTGTAATAAACTCTTTCCGTTTCTTCTAATGTTTCCTAATGTTGTTTTAGTTTAATATAGTGTAGTTTGTTCATTGTTTCGTAATCAATCCGCATTTAACTTGTAACGTGCGGCTGACAACATCTTTAATATGTGCTTTAAG